TTGTTAACATGTGTAAAAAATTTAGATTATGCCTGATCCATATTAAAGGCTGTATGTGGATTAGTCGCTAATTATTATGGTTGAATCTGGGCTTCAAGAAGTTTCTGTTTCAAAATTTTGGATCACAGGATCAAGACTAAGTGAATATTGTTTTGAATTTGTATTTTGGAATATGCCTCATCTATAGGGAAATTTCTAGGGAATTACTGGGTCAAAGAACATGCTAATTAAAACAAACAAGCAAATATACAATGAAAAATATTTGTCCCACCGCTGCCCCTACCCATACAGTTCTCTTCCCAGGTATCCAATGTTATCCTTTCAGAAATACTTATGTAAATACAATCCAAATACATACATTCATGGTCTTTCCCCCTTTTAATTTCTTTTAATGTTAATGATTATGTATTTTACACATTGTTTTGTATCCTAAATTTTCTGTTAAGGTTGTTATTTTGAGATCTTTCTGTATCAGTCATAAAGAGCTCCCTCATGAGTCTTTTAATTGCTGCATACTTTTATACTGTATGGATTTTCCTTCCCAGTGCCCTATCCGTCCCACACATTTTTTTAACCCTGTCAATTGTAGACACAAGACGGTTAACGTGGCTTTCCCACTGCTGCATCATTTGGCTTCTTGTTTAGTAGCAATATATTCTCTCCCTTAATTCTCAGTGATCGCATTTTATATTCTTTAAGCACCAGTACTCTTCATAATCACTCTATTAATTGTTTGATTGATTTTGCTTTGCTCATAGGGTACTCTTTTTTACTTTTTTTTTAAACTTCAGGTCATATAGTTATCCTCTGAAATAGGACAAGGAGCTCCAAGTCCTGCCAGAGAAAACTCAAGATGTCTCTAGGAGAAGAAAACACTCCCAGATGTTTGACTTTTGTTTCCTCTTTATTATGGTTGTTAGCAAAGACCTGCAATGATTGTGATGGTCGTTTGCAAAGGCTGAGGTTGGCTGGCTCAGCTCGAAGACTCTGATGTGTGATGTTTTTGTTCAGAATTGACAAGGATGGTATAAGATTAAGCAAAGGGTAGCAGGACTTTATAGAGCTTTTTTGAACACTTACACCTTCTCTGCCAAGACAGCTGCTTTTATGATGTTGACTTGTGCTTAGTATGTTTGTCTCCATACTTCCCTTGGCTTAGAGTTTATTCTGATTAAAACACTAATTATTAACATTCCTATTTACCAGGAATGGTGGTCTGGGATAGTCTGGGAGTGTAATCTCGTTTGGTCTGTTAATTGGTTTGCACTCTTAGCTCATTTTAAAATGCTAAGAAAGGTCCTGGAGGCAAATGACGTAATTAAGCTGGAGTATCGGTCACTTCTTACTGCCTCTTTCTCCAGTGAGCAGAGACTGTCTGCAGACAGAAACGAAGTCTACCTAAAAGAGAAGCAATTAAGGTTCCAATTTACAGTTTAAGTAAGGATGAATCTTATTGTACCTTAGACGGTCTTTGTGAAATTTGATTATTATGAAGTGTGAAATGGGAAAAGTACGCTTAGGAGATCCACGTAGTAATGTTCTGATTGAAAGCAACATTTAAGACTTCGTGGTGGGGTGGCTTACCGTGTAGAAACACAAACTCTGGAGTTAGATAGATCTGAGTTTTGGTCCTGGTTGTAACATCTGGTGTTTAACATCTATTTAACTTACTATCTGTAAGATATTGGTCAAATTATCCTAAATTTCAGTTTCCTCATCTTTAAAACGGATATAAAAATAGTTGCAGAATAATATGCTTTAAGGATACATGAGTTAGCATAAGTCAAATAGCTCAGGCATCATAGGCTTTTAATAAATGTTTATCTTTTTTTTTATAAGTCTTATGTGATTGACGGAGAGTAATTAGAAATAATAAATGACAGCAATGGCAACAAAACTCCATCTGTGAAAATCTTTCTCGCTGCAGGTCACTTAGATAAAGGCAGCCAGCCCTTCTGGAGAAAAGCATCTCTCCAAATGCCTTGAAATGTTTTCTTCACATAGACACATCTTGAGTTTTCTCTGGCAATCTTTATTATCAGTTTGATTAGGGGCTTATCATAAGCCAAACAGATTAGTCTGGATTTAAAAAGCAGGGACTTCACAGAATGGCCATCATTCAAAAGCCCACAGATGACAAATGCTGGAGAGGCTGTGGAGAAAGGGGAACCCTCCTACACTGCTGGTGGGAATGCAGTTTGGTGCAGCCACTGTGGAAAACAGTATGGAGATTCCTCAAAAGACTAGGAATAGACTTACCATATGACCCAGGAATCCTGCTCGTGGGCATATATCCAGAAGGAACCCTACTTCAAAAAGACACCTGCACCCCAGTGTTCATAACAGCACTATTTACAATAGGCAAGACATGAAAACAGCCTAAATGTCCATCCACAGATGACTGGACAAAGAGGATGTGGTATATTTATACAGTGGAATAGTACTCAGCCGTAAAACTGATAAAATAATGCCATTTGCAGCAACATGGATGGCCCTGGAGAATGTCATTCTAAGTGAAGTAAGCCAGAAGGAGAAGGAAAAATGCCATATGATATCGCTCATATGTGGAATCTCCAAAAAAACAAAAAAACCCAAAAAGAACCAAATGAATTTATTTAGAAAGCAGAAACAGACTCATAGACATAGAAAACAAACTTATGGTTACCAAGGGGTGGGGAAGGGTGTGGGAAGGGATAAATTGGGAGTTTGAGATTTGCAGATACTGACAAATATGTATAAAATAGATAAACAACAGTTTATACTGCATAGCACAGAGCACTATATTCAATATCTTGTAGTACCTTATGGTGAAAAAGAATATGAAAATGAATATATGTATGTTCCTATATGACAGAAGCTTTATGCTGTACACCAGAAATTGACACAACATTGTAAACTGACTATACTTCAATAAAAATATAAAAGAATGCACATTTTACAATTTTGCGGACCAATTACTTTCCTGTAGATAATATTAATTTATATTGTAAAAGTGTCAGGATGCCCAGCACTCTCTTTGGATGCTATCATTCTAAGTCTCCTCATTCCCATGGGTGAAAGTTATTTTCTTATTTTTATTTCAATTGTAGCCTCCTTATGTTTTTAAGCAATTTGTATGTGTTCTTCAATGATTTGCCTATTATCCTTTGCCCATTTTCCACTGGCTTATTTGTCTTTTCTTATTAATCTCTTGCAATTATTTGCACTTCAGGGATACCAGCCTTTTGTCTGTTACACGTGTTACAATGTTTTTCTCCTTGTCTGACACTAGGTGGCTTTCTTAATAGTGTCTTTCATAATACAAAAGTTTAAACTTTTTGTGTAATCCAATTTGTCAGATTTTTCATTATTAATTCTGAATTTCCTTTCTTACTTAGGTTCCCTCCAGCATCCAAAAGTTATAGAATATTGTCTAGTTTATATGTATTAATGTTTTAAAAGATATATTGCTCACATTTGCATTTTAATATTTAGTGTCTTTGTATATGTTGAGAGATTAAGAATTCACTTAAAATTCTTTCAAATCATAAATAGTTGTCCTAATGCAACTCATTACATAGCTCATCTTCCCCAAATTATTTGTAATGTCAGTTTAATCACATATTGTATTTCCACATATATCTAAATTTATCTATTTCTATACTAGTGTTTTAATTAATAGTAGATTAAATATTTTTCATATTTAGTGGGACAGGTACCTATTTGTTATTCTTCTTTATAAAAAATTTCTCAGCAATTCATTCATATTTGTTTTGTCATTCCCTATCTGGACCCCTTTTTAAGTTTCAAGATCCGGCTTTGATATTTTAATGAGAATTTCAGTGTGTCTATGAATCTGTTCGGGTGGGATTAACGTCTTAAGACATTCTGTCTTCTGACTGTGACTCGTGGGTCGTCTCTTCACTTGTTTAGCTTTTCCGTTCTGTCCTGTGATGGAATTTTACTCACGGAGCTCTTCTGCTTCTCTTTCTAAGTTTCTTTCTAGGTATTTCGTAGTTTTTGCCACAGTTGTAAATAATACATTTGTCTTATTGTATTTTCTAACTGGTTATTTTCACATATAGAAAAGCTATTGATTTTTGTTTATATTTCTTGTGTACAAAAATCTAATTTAATTCTTAATACGTATCTGAGTTGAATCTTTCATATTTTGGGGCTATTTAATGAGATTACATGGAATAATGATGATTTTGCCTTTTCCAATATTTATGCAGTTTATTTCACTTTGCCTGTTACATGAGTTTGAACCTCAAAACAATGTTGAATAATATAGTGACAGTGGACCTCCCTGTCTAATTCCTGATTGTAATAAAACTGTGTTTCATTGTTCACCAATTAGTCTGTTCGTGGTTGGTTTTTGAAAAATACTCCTCATTAAAAGATTTTGTTTTGATTTGGAGGAAACAGTGACGTGGGAGAAAAATGAATTAATTGGTGTGAACATTATCAGCAATAACCCTTTGGAAGATAAGGGTCCAAATAACTGAACCAGGGGGATATACTGGAATCTCAACCACACCAAAGGGAAATACTTATTTAATTAAGCCCCAAATTATTGCAGCAAAGCAAGGTGCTCACAGTCTCTACAGAGCAGAAATCTGGGACAGAGGAAGCATGGATGGTGGGTCTGAACACCTCAAAAATTATTTTCTCTCAATGTCTCTTAAATTTGTACCTCACCAATTTAATTCTGGAACAAAGCTAGTTCATAATCAGAATATATATTCATGTGACATTCTTTAATTAACAGGGAAACAAAACAAAAACAATGAAAATAACCTAGAAAAACAATGAATAAGAACAAAACAAAACTCGCTAAAATTTGTCTGTGTGCTGTAATGATTCTCTGCATCGCTTCAGTGTTATAGAGAATTTTCCTAATCTCTATGTTTGTGTCTTCTTGATTTAGTTTTGTTCTCTGATTTTGCCTTTGTGTACTCCTTTCTCTCTGCCCCACTCTCTTATTTTCAGGGTATGCCTGTGTGCACACCTGTATCTCATGGTGGGGAAGATTCATGTGTCTGTCTGTCTCATTGTATCTCTGGGTCTTTCTGTTACTGCCTTTTGATCATTTTCTGTTTTTTTCTCCCTCTTCTTTTGTCTCTTCCTTGGTAGATGCTAACTGACATTCCTTGGTATCTGTCACAGCCACACCCAAAGGACAAACCAAATAACCAATTTAGTAAGTACCCTACAGTACATTCAGCAGGTGGAAAGTAAACCCAACCAAAATATGGTATTTATAAGTCCTCAGGCAGCCCTCCCCTTGATAACACAGATCTTTTATGCTATTTTCGTTATTCCTTTAGGAAACAACCTTATCTGTTGCTTTCACAAAGTATGAATGCATTGGTAATTTATTAACAGAGAGATTCAGGGCAAAGAACATTTTATCAACCTGCTTTCTCTGGAAATAGAATCAACAGTTAGTGATGGGTGGAACAAATGAATAGTCCTGAGTCAGGCTGCCCAGAGCTCAACAGGTAACCCTGAGGGGAGGACTTGGAAATCTCAAAACTTCACATTTTTTTTTTAGAGCTCTGACACACCAGAGACTTCTCTTTTAGTCTGAAATCAAAGCCAAATAGCTTAGTATAATAGATTATGGTAGAAGCTTATATCCATTCACTGAACTTGCATTTCATCCTCCTCTTTTGGGTAGAGGTTGGAAAACTATCAACAACATTTCCTGACTCACTTGAAGCTGTGGGGTCCAGATGTGAGTCAGGTTTTGCCAATTAGATGCACTGGGACAGGACGAGGAGGCAGAAGCAGAGAAGGCTGTCTTCCTGACAAGCACACTCTGGCTGAAGGTTGGTGGGGGATGTGGGAGCCTTTCAGGGTTGTGGCAGCAACAGCAGAAGTAGAAGCTTTGAAACTCCGAATATAGTGAACAGGTGTGATTTGCCATGGTAGTGGCCACCTGACTTCAGGTTGAACACATATATCTGCATGCCCAGAACAGTCCTGATTTAAGCCCATTATGCCAGTGTACTTGTTAATAGAGCCCCACTCACTCTAAAAAATGCTTCTGGTTTAGAGAGTAAAAGTAGTAATCCTACCTCCAATTCTCCAGTTCTTGCAGTGAGACTTTGTAAACTCCTGGGCACATATCCAGAGGGAAGCCTAATTCAGAAAGACACCTGCACCCCAGTGTTCATAGCAGCACTGTTTACAATAGCCAGACATGGAAACAGCCTAAATGTCCATCAACATGACTAGATAAAGAAGTTGTGGTGTATTTATACAATGGAATACTACTCAGCCATAAAAAATGATAAACTAACACCATTTGCAGCAACATGGATGGCCCTGGAGAATGTCATTCTTCTAAGTGAAGTAAGCCAGAAAGAGAGAGAAAAATGCCGTATGATATCACTCATATGTGGAATCTAAAAAAAATAAAGACAAATGAACTTATTTAGAAAACAGAAACAGACTCACAGACATAGAATACAGACTTATGGTTGCCAGAGGGGAGGGGGTGGGAAGAGATAAACTGGGAGTTCGAGATTTGCAGATATTAACTGGTATATTTAAAATAAATAAGCAAGTTTACACTGTATAGCACAGGGAAATATATTCAATATCTTGTAGTAGCTCACAGTGAAAAAGAATATGAAAACGAATATATGTATGTTCATGTATGACTGAAGCATTGTGCTGTACACCAGAAATTGACAACATTAAACTGACTATACCTCAATTAAAAAAAAAAACGACTTTGTGAATACCTAATTACCTTTATTTAAATTTCTTCTGTTTGAAACACCTAGAGTGGTTACTGCTTCCTTTATTGAACCTTGACTGATGTCAATGATAAAGCTAATTAGTGGCCATAAAGACAGATTTTATTCAGTAATAACTACTGCAGTAGGGGAGAGAACCCAGTGTAACCGGAGCTCAAGTCTGCTGAAGTAAAAGGCAGGAGAACTTTCAGATACTGAGATAGGCTAAAGGAAAGACACTTAAGAGTAAGAAAGGGGCATTTGGGCCATGAAACTAGGCTATCAGGTTAATTGATGCTTATCTAGAGGAGAAACAAACTTCCAGTATATTTATGACAGGGAGTGGCTGTGCAATTTGGAGCTCGGTATCCACCGAAGTTAGACCCTTCTTCTCCCATGGAGACAGAGAGCCAGGGTGACCGCTATATCCTTTGTATCCCTGAATGTATTTCAAAGAGATGGCTCCCAGATCCTTCAGGAGACAGATCTGGGTGGTAGGAGATTTACATCTTAAAGGAACAGAGAAAGGATTTATAATTGCAAGTTTTCTCCAGGAAGCATTTTAAGAGGGGACAGATGTCATCCCAAGGACATGGCCTTAAGCTGCCAGAGGCCATGCTTCTAGAGTTTGGTCAGGAAGAGAGTCTTCACCACTGATATACATGGGGTCATGGGATTTTGCTGAAATTACTTTCGGAATGACATTCAATGCCCGTAAATCGTGTGGCATAGACTTTGACTTCAGTACTAACCTTTTTTTTTTGAAAATGACCCCAAGAGGATTAGTGTGGCCCCATCTCTAAGATTAACAGGAACCTGGAATGGGGAGCTTTGGGTGCACATTTATAAATATGCAATAAAACATTTCTTTTCCTACTGCTTGTGTGTGTTTTTAAAAGATACTTACTTTGATATTTATTAATTCCTATCCCTCGATTCCAAACAGGCAGAGAAGAAGCAAAGGAAGACTAAAATATTATAACTTGTAAATACAAGGGATCTATTTTGTTGCCTTGAACACTGAAAAGGAACCTAGATGCACTCCTGTCCCCGTGACTGAGCTGCCACATCCAGCTTCCCAGCACTGTCTCTGAGTCTGGCCTCTTGTGGATCGTCTGCATTTCTCATCAAGACAGTCAATATTTTGGGATCAAGAATTTAGGGGCAAAGGCCTCTAAATGATTTCTCATCCATGCAGAGGGAAAAATGTATTTGTTCTCCAGAAAGAGGCACAAAGCAAAACATTTGATTATACCACTTTGCCTGGCACTTGATTTATCTTACCAGTAAATCTGCTTTTAAAAATAGAAAGCAAATTATTATGCCTGAGTGACTTCAGAACCTTCCTATCATTCCAATTTGCACCCGTGTTGCTTCCAAGGAGGGTACTGGGGGGCTGTGGGTGCACGGGAGTAAAGAGGAGCAAGGGAGGAGCTGAGGAGGATCTAAAGAAATGGGGAGGAGGCGGATGGTGCCAGCACCTCAACAGTTTGAAATTACAGCCTGGATGAATGACTTACTGTATTCCCGCAGCTGGACTGAAGCTTGCTTGTCTTGGAAGGAAACCCAAGAAGATTAATTCTTGAGGTAGGAAGTAAAAGATCACATACATTCCAAGGTGGCTGGACTATTATTTGCCGAGAATATTTTCATAAAAAATTTTGCACATCCACACCCTTTGAAAAAACATGATCTGGAGACAGTGGTATGAAGAAACTAAAAAATCACGAACGTTTCAAGGTTGAGTATTTTCCTCTTGGTCTTGATTTTATTTGGAGGAGGGGGAAGAAAGAAAGAACTTCGTAAGAACAATTTTGAACAAGTCAGTTCAAGATAGAGAATTGCTGGTGAGAACTAAATTATGCACTACTTTAATTTTTTTTTAAATTAACTTTGTTTTTTTAAAGCAGTTGTAGGTTCACAGCAAAACTGAATGGAAAGTACCGAGATTTCCCATATACCCTCCGCCCCCACACAAGCACAGGCTCTCCTATTATAAACATGTTACACCAGAGCGGTACGTATGTTGTAATTAACGAACCTACCGTGACACATCATACACGTCACTACCATCCAAAGTCCATAGCTTACATTAGGGCCCACGCTTACTGTTGTATGTTCTATGGGTTTGGACCAATGTATAATGACATATATCCACCATTATAGTGTCATACAGAGTAGTTCCACTGCCCTAAAAATCCTTTGTGCTCCCCTGTTCATCTCTCCCTCCCCCATTCCTTGCCAACCACTTACATCGACATCCGCACACTGCTATAAACATCTGTGTGCAGGTTTTGGGTGGACATCAGTTTTCAACTCCTCTGTGTAAATGCCAAGGAGTGTATTGCTGGGTAATAGGGTGACAGTAACACTATTTTAATTTTTATAAGATTTTTATTTTAACCATTAACTTCATCTTCCTGTAGATAAACTTTTACTGTGTTTTCAAGATCCAGAAGCATCACACACTTTGTTTTCCTTTATGCAGTTTGATTTTTGAACTCTTCGTTCTTCTGTGGAATGGAATGAAGTGCCCCTGAACCAAAGCATTCTGCTAAGAACTCGGAATGCCTTGTTTTGACTCCCGCTACTGAACTCTGCTTTCGTGTTCAGACTTTAATTTCCTTTGAAGACTGCTCCTAAGATCTCAGTGCTTTTCCTGAGTTGCTGGTATGTAAAATTTATTTTCTCACTTGACATGAAGGAATACCTGGGCTTATTGTTAAGAATTACAGATAACCAAGTAATTTGCAAATATTGTAATTTATATATATGGAATGAGTCAAACTGGCCCTTTAGAGCTGCATGGCTTAGCACCAAATGCATTTTCAAACTCTGTTATATCTCCTCCCTCCCTCTCATCATTTCTTTTTTCCTTCCTTCCTCCCTCTCATCCTTTCTTTTTTCCTTCCTCCCTCCCTCCCTCCCTCCCTTCCTTCCTTCCTTCCTTCCTTCCTTCCTTCCTTCCTTCCTTCCTTCCTTCCTTCCTTATTCACTTATATATTTAACATTTAAACTATAAGCCAGACTGACAGTAGCTGGAGAGAATGAAGGATAAAGCAGTATGGAAATATAACTTATAATTCTGTAACCCTTGCTAGGTAAGATAAAGGATGGAGTCCAGAGACAAATGGATAACTCTGAAAAGCAAGTACCATTAGGAAAAATATGCTGCTGGAGATACAGCTCCAGGAACTATGGCTGAAAACACTCTCGGGTTGAAAATGGAGACTGTGCCCCTTCCACGATTTTCTTAGCATGATATGAATATTGTGATTGGAACACATTTTCATGTTTAGCAAAAGGTGACACTTCCCTCCCCCCCCATCCCCGCTACCTGAGACTTTGTTCATTACCACTGACTTCATTTAGTTGTGATCCCTTAAAAGCCAACCCTGAAAAAAAGGACGTGGGTGTAGGTAGTTTACCTGGGTGGATCCTGGGATGCTCAAGGGAAGGGGCTGAGAAGATGGGAGTGGGAAGTGAGGAAAGCCACTAGAGGGGGCAGTAAATGTGGCGGGCTACCTACGTAGGCAATGGCGTTCAGTCCAGCTGGCGACACTCTGTAGCTTAACATTATCTTACGGAGGGACAGGAAGTTGGGGTATCATTGCCTTCCCTTTTTGTTGACAGTTCCTCCTTGTGTTGAATCCGTAGCCCTTCCAGAAAGCCCACAAGTATGGATGGAAAGAGCCTCATTTTTAGGAGATTTGCATCATAACAGCAAGAATGTGGAAGTATAAAATGCACATTGAAGCAGAATAAGGTTAAGCTTTTTGCATGGCCATCTTGTTAGCAGTCTCTCATAGGGCACAGAGATCCTGCAGGTGGGAGAAGTGAATAGGGAAGGGTGTTTGAGATGGGAAGTTGTCAGTGCACCCAGAAATCATCCATAAGATCTATAACAACTCAGAGAGGGTACTGAGCGATTATGAGAGAGGGCGGGCAGTGGGGTCTGTGTGGGTTTTACAATGTTTAGGTTTTTACTTGGTGAAACGTGAGCTAAATTAAGATTGACATTTCAAAGTCCCCGCTGGTTGCTTTTCGCTGATGCTACATCTACACGTGTTAGATGGAGTATATACCGTCACATACCGGGACAGTTGTAAAGCTACTTCAGAAGGTCCCCAGTGTGATCAGTCTGGGCAAAGCCAGGTTTTTACCTCCCAGAGTTTATCATCATCCTAAGAGCAATGTGCCAGCGTATCTCCCCTTTTAGAAACTTTCAGAGAAGCATGCTGTAAAGGTTAGAGAAATTATTCTCTGTAAAAGTACTTGGGGAATTCTTTACTTATTAAGAACTAAGTAAAAATTCTTTTTAAAAAAATAATGATTCTTTGGCAGTTTCAAAAAGCAGCTAAAAACTACCTGTTGACATAAACATAGTATTAACGTCTACAAATCATATGGTATGTATATGATATATGTGTATAAATATGATATATTTGAATATGTCTTAGTTGGGTAGTTTTTTTTTTTTAACTTTTAGCATAAAGACACTCACATTTCGTACGGGAGTTTGAAATGTGATTGTTGAAGCTATTATTTCTGTCTGAATGGCCATAAGCTGTCAACAGGTCACCCAAAAAACCAAGTGTGGGAAGACAAGGTGTAATTCATAGACAAAGAGACAAAGCCGACCGTATAGGGGGCTTTCCTGTAACTCCTGCGTCAGGATTGACACAATGGTTTTATTATGAGGAGGGACAACAGAAATACAGCCAGATTCCAAGATCTTCATGCATTCAGAGACTGTTCTTTTAAAAATGAATGGTTTTATGTCAAAAGTCAGGCATTTGTAGGTGTGGACATTTTCTCTTCTGTACATTCTCTTATGCAGTTGCAGAAATTAAGTCACTAGCTAGTCAAGACCATTGACCATACGTTGTGGTCTGTACCATTAAAAACAGCTCTATAGTATTTAATTTACATATAATATTTGACGTCTGCTGCTGGCACCGTCCATAACTGGTGAAAATTATATGGAAGACATGACAAATCTTTCCTGAATAGGATGATGGGAAGGGGAATTTGATTTACCTCACATGTGAAATAATTTATACTTTTTGTGCTTATTTAATGTCTGTTTTGTGCATTAGTAAACTGTGAAGACAATAGGTTATGGCACCTTTGTTTGAAGAATTCATAGTCTCTTGGGGGAGACACACATGAAATCTTTTAGCATCATATTTCCTGTTGGTGACAAAAACGCATCCCTTTTTAAGCCTCTGGGGTTAGACTCAAGGGAAGAAAGCCTTTGTAATCAATCTTCTGGATTAGCATTTTAAACTATCTTTTCAGGAAGGTTTAAATCAAAAAGACTATTTTTACAGAGCTTTATTTCTCATCTTAAAAATGAGTGATTGAACTGATTGCTATTTTAAGTCCGTATACAGCTGTAATTCTACACTTTAGTATAAATGGGTTAGGGAGTAGGATTGGGGAGAGTGGGGAAAATCTCTCAAGAAGAGGAAAATGTGGCTTCTAACTTGAAAAACTTTCACAACCTAGTTCCTACACACACGCACATTTCCTCAGACCTTCTGAGACTTTCCTGTGACTGAGTGCACAGCTAATAAGTTTTACATTCTTGTTCTTTGAATCATTCATCTGACTGAAACAACTTGAATTCTTCATATTTTAATTTACACCCATTTTATAAATCTGTGTTACTCAGAAAATCTACACAATCAGATATCGAATTCCGGGAAGAGAGCAGCTGACTTCACTTTATATTTGTCAGATGGAGTGCATTCCTGGTAGGCATATGATTAAATAATTTGGGGCAATTTTGCTTTGGATGTAATCAAGGGAACATAAAACTTCTCAGCAGTAGACGAGCTGGAGGCTCCGGCAGCAGCAGACCCCTGGGAGAGATAAATGTTTTATTTTGTTGGGTTTGGTATGCAGCCTCATTTTGATTATTAGACTTTTTCTTTTTGACTTTTTTTTCCCTACAGCCCCTTTTGCAAAGGTAACATTACAGGGGCTTTAAAAACAGCACGGTGAACGGAGAGAAACTGAACACACCACTAAGGGATGGCGATTAGGCCCTAAAATTGCCCTCTGAGCTGGGCGGTATGTTTACGGCTAACTCCATTCAAATTTGTTCATTTAACCTTGGCATTATTTCAAGTCAAAAAAAACCCTATTCTCTCTTTCAAAGGATATTGTTAATTTAGGAGATACTTGAGAGATGCCAGTGAGGTAGGATATAAAAACACATGGCGAATTCCCATGTGTCTGTCTGTCCCCTGACACCTGACAGGGAAATGGCAATCAAAGTCCAACCTGTCACTT